TTAACTCTACAACTAGTATAACAAAACGAACTATAAAAATATATTCTTGGAAGGTAGCAAAATGGCATATTTCGAAGAAAAAAGTATAAATATGTACACCCAGGACACTTTTCATTTTCATCTTGGCTCGTTGACTCACACTTCAACGTGGAGACCTACTGAGGAAGTAGCGACATCCCCAGCGTGCTTCATGCCGGAAGCCAACAGTCGACAAAATTGGTCCAAAACGGAGAACTTGGAAGTAATTACTTCACTTTATGATGTACTGAGTTCATTTATGAAAGTTAACAATTGCGTTTTAGCCACAGGATCGTGATCCAGGCGAACAATTCTTGCCATAAATTCAAAATCTGTCGTTCTTCCTATGTCATTTTGATCATTTTCGTAATGCAGATACAGTGATTTCAACAGTAAAACTAGCTCAAAGCGGAACGTATATATGCGGGAATATGTCTTAAGTGAATATTAACCGCGGTCCTTCCTAACGTGAGGTGTACAGAATTACATTGCATAATGCGCAATTTTGTCTAGTACGTAAAATAAATATTGATCCCTTGAGATTCCTCATTCAGCAATTTGTGTATATATATATATATATATATATATATATATATATATATATATATATATATATATATATATATATATATAATCATAATTATCTGAGGTGACTTAAGTCATTGGCAAAGGGGAGCAATTCGACGTAGCATGGACTTGTTGGAAATATTGAGCCATGCTCCCGCTGTAGTAGACCAGAATTGCGAAAGTATTGCCGGCGCAAGATTTTGTGCACGAACTGGCATCTTGATTATGTCCTATAAATGTTCGGTGGTATTCATGTCGGGCAAGCTGGGTGACCAAATCATTTCCTCAAATTGTCCAGAGTGTTCTACAAACCAATCGCGAACAGTAGGGGCCTATTCGGTAGGCCACGTACATAAGCCTACATTCTACAAAGGTTATGGAGCCACCACCAGCTTGTACCAGTGCGTTGTTGCCAACTTGGGTCCATGGCTTCGCGGGGTCGCTCGAATCCTACCATCAGCTGTTTTCAACTGAAATCGGGATTTGTCTGACCAAGGCACAGTTTTGCAGTCATCTAGGATCCAATCGATATTGCCATGGGCCCAAGAGAGGCGCTGCTGGCGATGACGTGCTGTTAGGAAAGGCACTCGTCTGTCTTCTGGTGCCATAGACCATTAAAGCCACTGCGTTGTCCGATTTCTCGACACCCTCTTTGACACTGTGGATCTCGGAGCTGATATTGAATTCCCTAATGATATCCGAAATGGACTGTGCCATGCGTCTAGCTCCAACTACCACTCCGCGTTCAGTCTGTTAATCCTCGTTACCGGTACCTCGGAAACAAAATAATACGACATATGTCTTTGTATATATAATTTACGAAATATTAAGGTAACTTTGTTTTATGTAATGTAACTATACATATCATTACGAGCGTAAAAAACGAATCCAATGATATACATATTGACAGAGCCATGTCAGACTCGCACGTGCAGCAACAGAGAGAACCATGGGGCGGAGACCCCACATTAATACTGCGTGTTCCGTCGCGGGCAGTACGACAAGCTCTGTTGCGGCCTGGCATCCCATCGTGTAGATGGCGAATGGTGTCCTGCGGTACACTGTTCCACGCCTCCTGCACCGCCTCACGCAGAGCAGGCAGAGTTGTCAGTGAAGTCGCAGCACGGTTCGGGCGTTGGTCCATCATTTCCCACACGTGTTTGATTGGGGACAAATCCAGCGAGCGTGCCGGCGAGGCCAGTTCACAAACATCGCGAAGAGCATGTTGACTGGCGCGGGCTGTGTTGAGCGCAGGCATTGCCCGCGGAACTGCGCACCACCCTCCCGTTGCAAGAAAGGTATCAGTACAGGCCGCACAACGTGCTGGATGTATCCAGCGCTGAACATTTCTCCCCTCCACGAACTCCGAAGGCGAACGAGTGTTGTAGCTGATGGCACCCCACGCCATCAGTCCCGGGATGGGCCCTATGTGACATGGACGAACACACACCGGACGCACGCGCTCGCCTGTGCGACACCGCACACGAGCACGACCATCACTGGCGTGCAGGCAGAAGCGGCTCTCATCACCGCAAGCCATTCCGTCAACCAGCCGACATGGCACCACGCTAGACGTACTCGATGATACGGCGTGAATGGCAGTCGGGCTAGCGGTGTGCGCTATAGTAATTATATATATAATATCATTTTTGCTCTGCACTGTGTGTTAATTGGATATTGACCTGGATCCCGGGGAACCAAAATATTTGTTTCCTAGACATCTCCAATTGTCGATGTGTTTTTTTAATGTGCGTGTTTTATCTTTTGAGGTAGTGGAACCCAGTCATGTCAAAATTGTCTTTATTGCCAGAAAGTTTTAACGAATACGTCTCCGTCGACAATTTTGTAAAATATTTGAATATCAGTATCTAGAGTTTCGAATTTATCTGCATGTGTATTAGTACCCGTTTCAGTCAAGTTTGTATGAGCTGAAATGAGTATGTTAAGTATCAACACTTCGTTTCGAGAAAACGCTTCTCTAATAACAGTGCCGCTCATTTCTTAAATCGTCGAGCACCTGCTCTCCTTTGACTTTGCAAGAAAAGCTGTATTTTGGAGGTACCTTTTCTATAGTCTTTCTGTAATTAGTGTTCACAGTCCGCCGAAAGCTTTGGCTTTTGTCTCCACTTCGTTTAATTACTGCGGATTCATGCCTATCTGCGTCCATTGATTACATGATAACAGAGTGTACAATTTTAACGGCAAATCTGCCTATTCGAAAAATATAAAAAGAGCTTATTGTTATTTAATGCAAATTGCATCGGATACAACGTTGTAAGTACCAAGTGCCAGTACGCTGCTATTCCAACCCCCCAACTCTACTGTGGCTTAGTCCAGAGCACTGAGACAGTCGGGAGTGATAGCGAATTTCTCAATAGTGGACCATCGGGCCATCAAATCAGCGTTAGTTTCTCACCTCGCCGATGATATTTCAATCTCCCTGACCCAGGAAGGGATTCAGGACGTAGACGGACTTCCAGTGAAACATAAGATGCCGTTGGCGACAGGATGCTCTTTCTAGTGATCAGGAAAGAAATGCAGTAAGGAAATTTTTTCCGAGAAAATTGACGAATTTGTAAAGCAGGCTATCATCTAGCCCCTAGCTTCGCGGACATATGTAAGATCGAATGTTCGCGGTAGCAGTGTCGTAGACCAGTCCAGCGAGGACACACGCGGAGTATAACAAGACCAGGTACCGTGACCACTTTGTGGGAAACTGAAAAGAAAAAAAAAGAGAGGAAAAAAAAAAAAAAAAAGAAACAGGGAATTTGTAGAAAAATCCTTAATTAAAACGTTGAGACTTATATAACTAGATATTATTCCTTTAAATAATTCTCCAGCAAAAAATAGTGAGTCAATCTTTATTTGTGGAGATTCGGGAAAAAAAATTCATGGTGAAATCAGAGAGCTGACAAACTATTCCTTGTTCGCCTTTAGTATAAAGCTAACGTAAACAAGCCGGAGGTATTCATTTGCCGACTCCTTTCGCACCACTTTCGGTCACACACGCTCGGTATAGTTAGTGGCTGCTCGAAAACAGAGCCTGATTTGTGCAGAGTACTATATTAACATTTCTAATAGCTCTGCAACTGCATGTTTACAAACATTAACAGAAAATACTTGATAATAAAACTAATCAAATCACCCTTAACTACCAGTTTGCTAAGTTTTTATTTTTTATTTTTACGAGAATGAAATGAGCGAATGAATGTCAATATCCGAATTACATTTCTCGATACTTCACTCTCGATTATCTCGTTCACGATACTTACTGAAGCCATCTACCTCCCACATCTTCTGTTCCTCTTTAATAGTATGCCTTAATGCACTACATCACCGTTCTGGCATCACTTTAGAAATACCTTGCTCGAGAGTCCATGCACTTCGTGCAACTTCGTATCCATATTTGGTAATTTCATCTATTACATATTTGTCCGTCTTTTGAGAACTTTTCAGCGAGTTTCAGAAGCTCTGCCTTTACAAATGTAGACCCAAAATGTTCTCCTTTCTCTGACAACCACTGTGCAATATCTGCTTTACACAACTATTTATTCTGACGTTGAACCAGTTTTCCATTATGGTAAAGAGATTATCTAAAACAATAACTCTTTTTGGTTCTAATAACTAAGGCACTCATATCAATCATGGTTTTTTATGCAAAACAATGTATTAAAAACCTTCAATACCATACCCTTTTCACCACTGTAATAGTTTACCACCATAGTTTACCATAGATTGTAGTATTTCATTAGAGGCCTATACCGCTCTTCAAGTGAATGTTTCGAACTGCCTGACATAAAATTCAAAACTTATCTGCTTCGCTTCACATGAACATACCGCCTTCTACCTTGCGTGACCGAACCTGCGTCTGTCATCGGTTCTTAAGAAATGAACAGCTCCAGTTACTACTGCACGTGTGTGGGGTCCTGTTTGCCTGTTGACTCTCACGAATTGCTAGAGGTGACACCAAGCAGGTGCTGGACACATAACTGTTTTTTACATCAATAACTCCTCTGCCAGAAGGGCAGGTGTGGGGAACAATGGGTCTTTGGAATCCGAGTTTTAGATTGTAAGTTTCGTCTGGAATTTTAGCATTGTGAGAGAAATGAGCCACTACATTGAAAATTATTTTCTTCTACACATGAATTTGCTGCACATGCTATTGTTGTATGTACACTTTGTTGTACATATATATGTTGTACGTACACTTTTTTTTTTTTTTAGTGTAAAGGGAGAATATTATCAGGTGTGCTTTAATATTTTTGTAAAAATTGTGCCTACCGTCTGCCCATGAGTGTGGCAAATGGAATATGATTTCAAAGTTGTTACTTTTTAAAAGTTTTTTTTTTTCATAGTTTGTTTTAATGTGGTGATTGTTAGATATGTATATTATTTTTAACATTTCTCTCTTACAGTCATATTGCCAGAAACATAGTGTCACAAGTAAGAAGGAAAAAAGTGGATCTGCTTCCGACGATGACGAATTAAAAAGAAAGAAACGGAAAGATATGACGTCTGAAGAAAAAAACCAAGCACGAGCGGCAAAGTATGTACATTTATTATACATATGTGTGAGGATGAAGATAGTCTTTAAAATAGTATCGTATGTATTCTCGTACAGCAGTGTCTTCTTTGACCTTGATGAATAAGCTGGTAACTCGTGAAAACTGAAGTTGGTAAAATCTTGGTAAAAAGTGTTAATTTGAGCTCATCTTGTGTGAATTAACAGGCACCTAAACTTCTATCATGATTAATTATATTGAATCATTTTTAACATCAATAAGCAGGCTAGTTCATTTATCTTGTTGGGTTTCATGAAATTACATTATTGTTTTCATACATACACATTTTGTTTATCGGCGTATTTACTGGGATCAAATTAGAATTTCATTTCAGACCTTTCTACTGATGCATTATGACCATCACTTTCATTTTATTTGTACTGCATTGCATTATTTGTTTGTGGCCTTGCATGTTAAATCTGGAGTTCAGCTTGTCATATCTGTGGTTCTTTAAAAAATGTAGATTGTGCTTCAGTATTGATTTAATTTAATTTTATTTGAATTATTTAGTCAGCAGAAAAAAATGTATGTGATGTGTGGGGGAGAGGTACCATCTTCACACATTTTCTTGAGCTGCAGAATCTCCTCCTAACGTTTTAACTGTAAATTGTTGAATGGTGAATAAAAGTTTCAAAAAAGCGAAGATCATTTTTGCTTCAGAGTAATGGAAAACTTATTTGCATTGGTAAACACTGCAGATTTTAATTTTTGTATTGCGAAGAAAATAGTTACACCCCAGTCTATTGCTTCCACTTCTAGCAAAAGGTTATTTCAATGACACGTGCACATAGTGAAGCTACATTTATGTTCAGAAACAAAACAAGAGGCCATCTCAGCATTTACTCAATGGACCTGATAAAGATGGGGGATTATTGACCTGGAATATGTTGGTTTAGGAGCCACAATAAATTAAAATGTTTTGTTGTTCTTTCAGTTTCGAAGGTTTGGGGGAGGGATGCACATCTCTTATGAAATGTGGGTTGAAAATTTTGGTATCCGGAGAATACACTTTTATAATATATAATGATCATATTTATGTGGTTATATTCAATTATTTTGTTGTTCCTTTGTGTATTTATATGATATTAATTGTAGCAATAGTTTTGTTGCAGCAGCAGAAGCTTTTAGCAGCAGACAATAACTCCCAAAATCT